ATTGTAAACTCGCTGAGGGCAAGAATTTCATATTAATATGTATTTGTAACTCCCCTGCCCACATATCTCCCACATTTAGATCATTTAAGATTTCAGGATAAATGTAACTGCAGAGATAGTTTTGTTCAGTGACTGTCTGAATATCAGCCCAAAGGGCTGTGGAAATGTATATAGTAGATAATAAGCAGGTTAGAGAATATCACCATAGATTACTTGCCCATGAGTAATGAAGTAAAAGACATTGTGAAAGACACATATGAACAGAAAAGAAGGATTGGACCTCAAGTGAGAGTAAGCAGTTACAAATGAATAACCCTAGTGCTAGCCTGGAAAGAGCAAATGAATCACAGGAAGGGCTACAGTTTGTGGATAGATCCTCTCTTGAGCATTTATGGGAAGACACATGCAAGAATTGCTTAAGATGAGAAGAGTTGTGAGCTACATTGAGAAGAGGAGTGTCCACATTGACGAAAGCACAGATCTTTCAAAATGAATACTCCCTCTCTGTGAAAGCTGTCTCCCCTCCAACCTTCCTAAAAGAGCACTATACTTTGTACATAGCAGTCTGGTGAATTGGAAAGAACACTGTTCTAAGAGTCAAGAGATTTAGATTCTAGTCCTGTATCTCCTGTGAATTCTTTGTATGCCATTGGAGGAATCATTTTAACATCTCTCAAGCCTCAGTTTCCTTATCTGTAAAATGAGATATTGGGTGAGATATAATCTCAGGTTCTTCCCAGTTCAGATGTTCTATCTATGATTCTATGAAATAGTCATTGGCTGAATCAATCCTTACATGACTTTCCTTCCCTCTCTTCTCTCCACTCATTGCCCTGGCACACCTACTTCATCCATTTCTGCCATTTGAGAAGTCTAGTATGTTTACAAACTCTTTTTCTATTGTATGCCAAAAGCAAAGTATGGACTGTTCAGAAATTCTTTGTACATTTTACAGATTTAAGCCCTCTATGATCTGTTAGACACAGATGAGAGTGGAATTTGTACCTGTTTTCAAAGAAGTTTGTCAAGTGGGTGACAAGCAACATGGAGGCAGCCTGTGCAAAGAGTGTTGGATTAGAAGTCAAAAGATTAGCACATATGGAGCCAGGTAAGTTTCACAAAATGGCCCTCAAATTAACTTTTTGGAGGCAGTGAATTACAGTATATTCTTTTCAGGGAAGTTGGAGATCCTAGAACACCTGCATCATTAGGTAGAAGCCCTGTAATGCCATGAAGTCATTACTTATCAGATATGGACTGAGGGGAGTAGGCTAAGAAGGAACTCATCTAGGATTTGGGTGGAAAAAACCCAACCATTTGGTAGCTTTTAGTTTTAACTAATTATTATTGCTTAAAACAAAAAAGTCCTAAGATCAATTGTTTTTACTGAAAAGTTTAAACATTGTAAAGACGCGATAAATTTCAGTGATTCAGGACAGCACCCAAATTGCCTAGTCCAAGTTATGATTCCCACTCCAGCTCTGCAGCTAACTTACTCTAGTAACACTTTGGGGAAATCATTGACTACTTTGAGTCTTCTTCTCTGGAAAATGAGTACTCTGGGTTAAATAATGTCTAAGATGTCTCTATCTCTCACATTCTAGGGTTCTTTGATAGATTGCATTTAAAAATGATGAGAGGATGATTTTTTAAAAGCTCCTCTGGTGCTTTACCTGGGCCTAACCTTTCTATCAGGAAAAATAAAAAATGAAATCAACAGCCTTGGATATTCCTTCTTGGAACCAAATTCAAAACCATTCAGAATAGAAAGGTCAAGTCAACAAGCATTTGTTAAACATTTACCATGCGCTAGGTACTGAGTTGAATATTGGAGATAGAAACACAACAACCAAAAAATTCAACATCTTCCCTCAAGGAGCTTACGTTCTAGTAGGGGAGATGATACCTAAAAGAGGAGCTAAAAAGGAACATGGGTGAGAGGAGATTCCTGCATGATGGTGAATATGAAGAGTCAGAAGCAGAGCAGGGAGAGGAAAGAAGGATGGCTGCCCTAGGCCCTTCCTCAAAATGGAGGTTCTGGGTGGAAATCACCAATGGGAAAAAGGGGCCACTGGGACAGAGGTATTTCCAAGATGAGAAGGCCCCAGATGCTGAGGAAATTTCCAGTGTGAGAAGGCAGATGAGGTGCTGTGGGGAGTTCCAAGAATAAGAAGCAGAGCCAGAAGAGGAAAGATGGATGGTAGTCCTTGGTCTCTAAAAATGGAAATAGCAGGAAGAATTCACCAGAAGTAGAAGGGTACTACTGCAAGGTAATTGAAAAAATTGGAGAATGCTATCAAGGGGTCTCAAAGTGAAGGCCTTATAGAGGATGGTAAAGCTTATCTTTGAGTGCTTGCGAGCAAAAACAATGAATTGATCTTTCTAGATATATACCCCCACTCCATTGAGAAACTATAGGCAAACAATTTGTCTGGCCAATGTTCTCTCCAGAGTGTGCCTGGTGCAGCATGGAATGAAGTTATAACCAGCACCCAGAAGTTAGAGAGAAGGAATATTTATGCAGAAAGTCCTGTTTAGACAAAACAGGGGAACTTTCTGAGAACTTTGCCTTCCTCCAGAGCTTTATATCCAGCGGCAGGCCTGGACATTTTCCAACCCACAGCTCTATTTAGATCCTCCCCCAAAATATTCGTTCTCATCGTGTCAGCTAAAGACATACACTTATCCCCCCTTGATTAAAAATATTACTCATTGATGCCTTTAACTTTTAGGGTCTAAAACTTTATCTGTTACAGAAGGACACTCCTTATGCTTAAAAAAATCCAATCTCATCTCCTTTGTGAAGCATTTTATGATCATACCATGAAGATAGGATCTCCTGAACCTCCTTTGGTTCTAATGTCTGCCTCTTGATTGATACTTGGCATATACTGTCCTAATGTGTAATTAGCTTCTTTTTTTAAACAGGTTTTTAACTTATTTCTCTCTATACTGTAAGTTCTTTGAGATCATATCCTGCCTTTTTTTTTGTTTTCATAAAGCATCTCTGGTTAACACTCGTGGAAAATAGAGGGATGTGAGCTAGATGAAAATATAGTTAAGTTGGTTAGGAACTGGTTGAATTTCCAGATCCTAGGAGTAGTCTTTAGTGGGTCCATTCAGTTTGCAGCAAGGTCATTAGTAGAGATCCCAGAGATCTCTCTCTCAGTTTGACCCCACAGTCTTTAATACTTTTTTTCCCCTCAATTGCTTGAATGAAGGTATGGATGACAGTATTATCTAATTTGCAGAAGATGCAAAGCTGGGAGGGAAAGTGAATGGATGACAAATTTGGATCCCAAAAGATTTTCACTGGTTAGAACAATGAGTCAGATTTAACATGGTGAGATTTAATAGGGAAAATTGTAAAGTTTACATTTGGATTAAAAAAATCATCTTCAAATGGACAAGACGGGAGAAGTTAAGTTAGACCAGAGTTCTTCTGAAAACGTCATTCCAGTACTAAACCTAAGCCATCCCACCAACCTGAGTTAGGCCTTGTCTAGAACGATGCTCAAGGGCTTTCTACTTTAAACCAGAAAATGGATTTGAGGATGATTTTCATGCTATCTGCCTCAAGCACAAGAATTGCTTATCATGGCTGCAGCTGTAACCCACATTTATGGAATTGTTCACCATTTTCCAAGGGAATTAGAATTATTAGGGAACTGTTAGCCACACCCTGGATTACGACTCAACCTGACATCATGGGAATTTGCCTGTTCTGTTTCACATAGAGATTAGAAATGCCTTTATTTCTAGCTGAGGGGTCCAGTGTAAAGAGCATGGGAAATGGAGTCAGAGGACCTGGGATTGAAACTGTGCTTTGCCACTTATTACCCTGGGGAAACATCAACCTCAGTTTCCTCATTTGTAAAATGCAGGGGAGGAGACTTCTGTCGTGCCTTCCTGCTCTAAATCTATGATTCTAAGGTAAAAATAAATTCACATTCAATGAGGTTGCACCTACAGTGGCCTTTCCAAGACACACATAACATGACTGTTTTGTTTATCCAAAGGACAACATGGTGTCCTTATTCTGTCTATGCTAACACTCACTCCCTCATTACTCTTGAAGAGAAATTATTATTTTCAGCTTCTTCTCCTTCCTGGCTGCCCTTAGCTCCCAGAAGAATACTGTAGCATAAATTGGGATTTAGGGGGTGTAATTCAGGTTTATATACTAGTAATTAGAAGATTGCTTAAAAGACTCCTGTCACTATTTAATTATTCCAGTACAATAAGTGGATTATCAGAGGGTAATGGACTCTTTCCAGAATAACAACAAGACTTTACATTCCACCTTCTGTTACCCAGACACAGGACTAGTAGGTTATTTGACGAGCCACGTCTTTGGGGGCTTGAACCCAATCTACTCTTTTTTGCAGGAGAAAGAGGTAGGAAGTGAGTTTCCTTATTCTGGAGGTGGTATAGGGTGATAGGCAAGAGCTGTCAGTAGAGCCAAAATTCTTCAAATTAATTGCCTGCGTGACACTGGGCAAGTCACCTCACTTTGGGGAGTGTTGGTTGATCTGTAAAATGAAGGGTTGGGACCAGGTGGCTTCCGAGGTCCCTGCTGTCTCTAAATGAATGATCTTTCGCTTGGACTTGACTTTCTTGGTGATTTGAGGAGAAGGCTTTCAGTCCCAGTAAGGACTCAGGGCAAGGACCTTCATCTACACTATATTAACCAGGGGTCCATGAATATTTTGTGTGTGTCATGGACCCCTTGGGCAGTCATTCTGGTGGTCTATGGACCCCTTGGGTCCTCATTCTGATGGTCTATGGACCCTTTCTCAGAATAACGTTTTTAAATGCATAAAAAAAAATACAGAGTTTACAAAAGAAACCAATTATACTGAAGTATAATTATCAGAATATTAAAAAAATCCACAGACCCAAGTTAAGAACCCTTTGATCTACATGAATTCTGTCCCGTTTCCCTCTTTTCCCAATCTCCTCCTCCAGAATTCCCTCATCTCTATTGTGTATATACTTACACATGTGCATGTAAGCTCCTAGTACATAGAGAGTTGGTAAGCTCCTCCAATGCAGGGACTCATTTTGCTTTTGACTTTGAAGCAAGAGCTCAGGACAGTGTCGAACCCCCGGTAGGTGACTCATAAATGCCTGTTGATTGATTGCTGGGTCAGAGCCGAAGGGGCCTGTTATATCACACACATGCCTGTGAATTATTAGCTGCCCAGCTCTTCAGGCAGGCAAGATGCTGTATCCCCAGGCATACTTAACACTCCCTTATGGGGCAGGATTTTAAATGCAGCCAAACTCTGCCTCAAAACCGTATATGATTTACAGAGAGCTGTGTATAATGCACTTTACTCTGACAGATGGGTTTAACCTTCAATGATGTGAACTCTTTTCACCACACCCAAACTATATACCCTATAAATAATTCTTTATGTAGTTTGCTGGATTCCCCTTTCCCACCCTACAGGCACACACACACACACACGCACACACACTCAGTCTCATGATCACATTCTCATATTCATATACACACTTATATACACAGTCACACTCATATTCTCACATACACACACACTATCATATATACAACCTCATACTCACATACACATACTCTCACACTCAAACACATTCACTGTTACGCTTGTAGCCATACTCATGCACACATCCACATCCACTCACATCCACACTCTTTCACACACATATTCACGGTCACCATCATATTCACATAGACTCACACACTCATACACAGACTCTCTCACAAGCACACATATTCACAGTTACATTCACAGTCATGTTCACAACACACTCACACACTCACTCAGACTTTTGTACTCATACACAGTCAGTCATACACACATATACTTATACACTATCATATACACACTCTCATACTCACACTCAAACATATTCAGTCACACTTACCGTCATGCTCACATACACATACATTCACACACTCTTATACACACACACACTCAGTCTCATACTCACATTCTTATATACATATATACGCTTATACGCAGTCACACTCATATTCTCACATACACACACACTATCATATATACAACCTCATACTCACATACACATACTCTCACACTCAAACACATTCACTGTTATGCTTATAGCCATACTCATGCACACATCCACATCCACTCACATCCACACTCTTTTACACACATATTCATGGTCACAATCATCCTCACATAGACTCACACAAACACACACATTCACAGTCACACTCACAGTTATGTTCACGACATACTCTCACATACTCGTACTTTTGTACTCACACACAGTCAGTTGCACACACATACACTTATACACTATCATATACACACACTCCACACACATCACACACACACACACAACACACACACACACACACATACACACACACACATACACACACACACACAGGCAAATATATCTTCCAGACTGCCTCAGAGATGGCAGGCTCCACCTTGGAAATGTGCTTCACTCACAAGCATTTCTTCCACAAGCCAATAAGTATGCAGACTCACTGATAAAAATGTGCTTTGGAGACAATAAGTAGTTGTCTTGAGATTGAAAGCTGAGAACACAATGATAGGCCCAGCAGAGATTTCCCCAATTACACTCCTATGTCCCCCGCCGTTCTGTGTTTTCAGAGAAGGTGGCCACTGTGCTGACCCCCTCAAAGAATTCAAAGCATGTTCCCCCTCCTCTCTGGGCTTAAGCTGGCCTGGTAATATTGTAACTTTCAATTTAATCATTGACCTAAACTAGGCTGCATTTTTATCTCTGCGGGAGCCTTGCTGGGTTGAAAGATCCAGCTGTGGCACGCTGAGAGGGAAAGCTTGCACTAGAGTATTTGGACCAGCAAGTGACACCACTTCAGCTCTGAGATAAGATGGAAACTTTTTCAAGCTGTTTGAAAATTATTAAAAGGACCCCGCCCCCCCCCCCCCCCAGCACACCCAAGCCAATCCCGGGCTGCAGATAAGACAGATGCTGGGCTGGAGCATCTGGGGGTTGTAAACGAGGAGGATTACCCAAGCATTACTGATATTACTGTGGAAACCTAGATTATCAGTAATTAAGGTTTTGAAAGTTTTCCCCAGCTGCACAATAGACCCCTCAGTACCTTGGATTCCTGAGCAGGAGTTGGGTTAACTATTAAAAGAAGACAAAAAGCATTTCAAGCCAAACCTGAAGGCTCTTTAACGAGTACAACATTGCATCCACTATGGGGTCTTTCTCCTTGACTCTCTCTTCTCCACAGATCCAATGTTCATACCCTTGTGTTCCTGAAAGAGAGCTCCTTTTCTTTCTTTGTGGTTTTAAATTAGTTTGATGAGTAGGCCTTGGATTTAGGATTAAAGAGGTTAAAAGTCACATTTCACTTTGGGATAGTGAATAAATTATCAAGAAAAATATGTCAGGGGAAAAAATTATTAAAATTTTTAAATCACACAATAGTTTAAAAGAAAAAAAAACTTCTTTCCAAAAAGAATCCCTTCACTTATTTCACAGTTCTACAATTTACTCACTGTATCTTAAACATACACACACACACACACACACACACACACACACACACACACACACACACACACATTTTTTTGCCCTGCTTGACCAAAATGACTTGGAGAGGATGGGAATCATTATATAGATTTAGAATTTTCTAATGTTAGGGATCTATGGAGTTTATTTATCCCAATTTCTTCCTTTAACAGATACCCAGAAATAAAGCCCCCAAATCCATGAGGTTTAGTGAGTTGATGGGGGTTGTTGAGCAAGTCAGTGATGACTCGTACTAGAGAACCTAGTTCCCTGGACTCTTATTATCTCTTAATGAGATAATGGCAGTCAGCTGGGTCACCAGGAGGATGGTGGTACCCTGGCAGGTTAGGGAGAGGGAAAGAGAGCCATAAAACTGGAGAAGGTAAATTCATGCTCAGGCCTTGTGTTGTAATATGATGAAAAAAAGAGTTGGATTTGGATTTGGAGGACTTGGATTCAAATCCCAGCTCTCTTTGTTACTGCCTTTGTGACTTTGGACATAGGTAACCTCCTGGAGCTTCACCTTCCTCATCTGTAAAATGAAGGGGGTTGACTTAGATGTCCTCTAATTCCCTTACGACTCTAAATCTATGATTCTGACCTGGGTAATTCTGAGCAGGGCACTTAACCTCTCGAGGCTTCCATTTCTTCATATCTAAGCTGGGAGAATTAGATTAGACGCCTTCTTAGGTTCTGTCTAGCTCTAATTCTGCGACCAGATGATTCTGTGACCCTGAGCCCTTGAAAGCTACCAAGCAAAGCTACCCTTGGTGCTGATGCTAGCTTATACTTACTAAGGAAGGAAAGAATTCGTGCATCAGGAGTTTTTCTTTTTTTGTTTTTTTTTTTTTTTTTAACAGTAAGCACCAAACATAGCAAAGAGAAGACACTATAAATGTCTGAGTTGCAACAAAAGGAGTGTTAGTTAACCTTAATTTACCTTGAAGCCTTCTGTGGTGAATTGCTTTATTACTGTACATAGTATTTGTGATTTGGATTTTCAAACGCTGTATTTTCATTCTGCATTTCATGATGCTTTTATATGCATTCCCATTTCATTTCTTCAATCTGTTACAAAACCTGCTAATGAAAGCAGGAAAGTAGCATGTTTATTAAATGGAAAAGAAAAGAAAAATCTTTAAAGAGAGAAAATAACATAAACCTGAGGCCCAAGTACCACAGACTATTCATAAAGAACTAATGAATTAAATCAAGCAAACCAGATCAATGCTCTTTTTTTTTTTTTGGTTCCTTTCAAATTATAAAAAAAGTGGACAGAGGGGAATTTTGGAGATATAATTTGTTCCAGGCCTGAGCAGAGCATATTTGCATCTCATGAAATTTTACTAGAAAAATATAATTCAAATTGGCTTGGAGATGAGACCTATCAAATAGATTGAAAGCTGGATTAGAAACCAACACTAACGAAAAATTGCAATGTGTACCAAGTGAGAGGAACAGTGTCCAAAAGATTGCTGTAAAGTCTCACAGAGAAGGTAAACAACCTATTAATTAGAGTAGCAGATGGTATTAAATTGATAGAAGTTTCAGATTCCAAGGCCAAAAACAAAATTTAAAACAAGGAACCTACTTTATCAGTTAGAAACCCTAGCAGAAAATCAATGACAGGAAAAAATAAGATCTGCAGGTAGTCCTAGGAAGGAACAATATTTGGAAAGATTGGGGGCAGAACAGAAACTTGGAATGATGGTGAGACAGTTAGGGACTTGCTTTAAAAGACATCGTGGTACACTGTAGATGATTCATGAGACATGGCACTAGAAAGACCTTGGTTCAAATTCTACTTCTAACAGTTACTAGATTTATGACCACAAGCATGTTGTTAAACCTCTCTGAGCTTCAGTGCCCTTTTCAGTCAAATGAAGATTGTATCTGTAGTCTTGACCTCACAGGATTATTATGAAACTTAAGTGTGCTAATATATGTCAAACGATTTATAAATCTTAAAACATTATGTAAATAAATTATGCTAAAATGGATTCAAGGTTAGGAAAATAAAGGATTCACTAATTAATATGCCTTTAACATATTGTCCTCATATTATTTTAATTAGACATGGTTACTACTAGTCAATTTGATTTTTTCATTGTATTTTGTTTTTTAAAATTCTAAAGCAAGTATTTTATCCTTGCATCAGTCCTTCTAAATGTTCCTGTTACAAACTTTTCTAGTTTTCTATTGGTTCCTGTGATTACATTTCAAACTTTACAACCAGCTCTAGTCTGTTCATCAGGAATGCTTGAAAAACCTCTATCTACTAAAGCTTCATTTTTTCCCCCTTTAGGATTCTATTCACTTTTTCAGGGCAAGTTATTCTTGGTGGTAAGCCTTCATCTTTTGCTTTTCGATTACCATATTCCAAAACTGACTCTCCTTAAAGCGATGCTTGCCAAGTCTTGCAAAATCCTGACTATGGTTCCTTGTTACTTAATTTCTTTTATTATGGCTACTTACAATCTTTTTTCCCCCTTTCACCTGGAAGCCATAGATTTTGGCTGTAGCATTCTAGGAGTTTTTATTTTGGCTTTTCTTATGGGAGGTGAGTAGGGAATTTATTCTATTTTCTTGTTGCCCTCTGGTTCTGGTAGATGATTTCTTGAAAGACTTTTTTTTGGGGGGGGAAGGGATCACAATTTTTAGCACAATGATCCCCAGATTATCTCCTT